GACTGCTAACCAGAAGGCTGGCTGTTCAAACCCACCAGCCACTCCTCAGAAGGAAGACTGGGCAATCTACTTCCGTACAGATATCGCCTTGGAAACCCAAGTAGGGGCTGCTTCTGAATATCAGTTTGTATTGTGAATTTCCAAAGGAAGACAAGTGTATGCTGCTTTTCTCTCAAGTGATTGGACCATATATGTAGTCCTAGTAAAGTCTAAAGGAGGTCTGGTGGCACAGAGGTTAAGGGCTTGACTGCTATCCGAAAAGTTGGCAGTTTGAACATACTAGCTGCTCTGTGGGAGAAAGATGTGGCAGTCTGCTTCCATAAAGATCATAGCCTTAGAAATCCTATGGGGCAGTTCTTTGTCCTAGGGTTGCTATGAATCAACTCCACAAGTGGGTTTTTGAGTAAGATACTAGGCTCATTGCTAAGTTCTTTGTGTACATTATTGTCCACCCCATGATCTGTGATGATTCCTATTTGCAAGTGGAAAACCCGAGTCCCATAGTTGTTTAGCAACTTGCCAGGCAGACCTGTGGCACCTAGGAACTGCCAGTGCTGGGACTTGTGCCCAGAGGTATATGACCCTAGAGCCCACAGTCTTCTCACCTCCCATGTCTGCAGGCAACAGATGGATGTCACTGTTGGCTCTCTAGGATAACCTTGCTTTTCCCTTACTCAGAGCCACAATCATGTCTCTGGAAGACTTCGAGCAGCGTTTGAATCAAGCCATTGAGAGAAACGCCTTCCTGGAGAGTGAACTCGATGAGAAGGAGAATCTCCTAGAATCCGTCCAGCGACTAAAAGATGAAGCTAGAGGTCAGGAGGTGCTTGTCATTGTTCTTAGTTTCTTCACTAGTGTTGCCTCAGCCCACCTGAGAACACCTTGTCCCGTGGCACGGCTAGTGTGAGGTTTGTTGGAAATCAGCCCTCTGCTCTGCACACAGGCATCTGGTCAGAGAGCATGGGACCATGCCCAGCAAGCTCTGGCCTTGGTTCCCAGGGGCCATGGCTGAGGATGGTGATACCCAACTGTGTAAGGGCCCTCGTGGGTATTTACAGAAGCATTTTTGGAACTCACAAATGATGCCCTTATATTTATGTTATGCCTTCAGGCAGCAGAATCACTTCAGGAGAGATTTCCCAGTCTGTAATTCACACACTTGCTTTGTGCTCAGTGTGAGCAGAAGAGTATTGTGGAGAACAATTCTGTTACTAGGATTGCTAGCTAGCATCTTGTTTCTGTCATTTGATGACAACAGTCCATTTGTCTTGGGCCTCTAAAACCTCATCAGTATTTGTTCTTTAGAGGTTAGCAGTTCTAGCAGTCAAGCTTTCAAACTGTAATGAGACATTAGGAAATCATACAAGTTGGGAGCATAAGAGGTTTTAAAAAGCCCCAGTTATTTATAACATTAATTTGGTATCTAATGTGTGGCCAGTAGCTGGGGAATTAAAAAGAAGGAACTTGTGATTTTAAAAGATGGTTATTCCTAAATGCCGATCAGCAGTAAAATGGTTAAATAACTCATGCAGATTTATATTGTGGAAAGTTAAACAGTTGCTAAAATGAACAGGGCAGTCATAGAGGGAAGCCTAGAACAGTGGATGTTCTATGGATCCATTTATGCTTAATAAAACTTTTTCATACTATATGTTTAATAAATATACACATACATACATACATACGTACATATAAACAAACTGCATGTATGTAAAGGTAGGGAAAACTGATTGAAAGGATCCACCAGATGTTACAGTGATTATTTATGTCCAAGGAGGGCATTTTAGGATGGGCTGGGAGAACAATACTTAGGATTCTATCTGTACTCCTTTGTTGGAATTCCTTTTTTTAAAAAAAGGACTTAACCTGAAAAGAGAGTGACCTTCCTAAACCCTTCTCCTGGCTCAGATTTGCGGCAGGAATTGGCTGTGCAGCAGAAGCAGGAGAAACCCCGGACCCCTGTGCCCAGTGCAGTGGAAGCTGAAAGGACGGACACCGCTGTCCAGGCCACCAGCTCCATACCATCCACACCCATAGTTCATCGCGGACCCAGTACCAGCTTAAACACACCAGGGACCTTTCGACGTGGTAATGGGAAAGGAAACTGGCAAGATTTATGTTTTGTTTCATGAAACTTTCCAGGGTGAGAACCTAGGGTTAGTCTTAGGTGAGAGGGATGATTTGAAGTAGGCTGTCCAGTCAGGGAGCAACCAAGATGCTTCTGGAAAGGATCCTGGTTGTGAGGCTGTGCCTCCATCTCCTCAACCAGAAGAAACAAGGGCCAGTGTTAGCAGATTGTTTCAGTCTCCATTAGAAGCTAGAAGTCCTCTCTTCTGAATATGAAAACCCCAAAAAGTAAAATGTCAGTAAACCAAATAAAAAATTTAAAAGCATTTTGTGGGGCCTAGCAATGCATCCATCTAGAAATTGGCTCCAACATTTAGGCCTCTAAATGGGGACCTGTGCTGTGTAGTCAAATCCAGGAAATTCCATTTCTCACCTCAGCCCCTCTTCTGATTGATTTAACTCGTGACACTCTGATTAGGCCACTCAACAGCAGATAATCACAATAGACAAATGTTAAATACTCAGAATTTGCCAGACACTGTGCTTAAGGTGCTTCGTATGTATGGCCTCATTGAATCCTTTCTGCAGCCCCTTTTGAGGGTAAGGAAGGAGCTCTGGTGGCACAGTGGTTAAAGCATTTGGCTGCTAACCAAAAGATTGTGATTCTAACCCACTAGCTCTTTCATAGGAGAAGGAGGAGGCAGTCTGCTTTTATAAATGTTTACAGCCTTGGAAAGCTTGTGGGACAGTGTTCTATCTGAAAGGGTTCTGAATCAGAATTGGCTCGATGGTAGTGGGTTTATTTTTTGGTTTGAGGGTGAGGAAATGGCAGTGCTGAGGTTAAGGAGCTTGTCTGCAGTCACACACCTAATAAATGGCAGAGTTGGGGTTCAAACCCAAGCATATTGGTTCCAGAGCTTGTATTGCCTTATATTACCATATACTGCCTTACTTCTTGAGGATCCCTGGTGGTGTAGTGATTAAGTACCTGGCTGCTAACCAAAAGCTTGTTCAAACCCACCAGTATCTGTAGGAGAAAGATCTGGCAGTTGTTCCTGAAAAGATAACAGGTTTGGAAAACCTATGGGACAGTTTTCCTCTGTCCTGTAAGGTCACCTCAACAGCAGTGGGTATTATATTTTAACTTGTCCCCTAAGGATCAGGAGACTGGTGAGATTTCCAGAATCCCAGTCTAGAGGAGTATTTTTCCCATGTTACTATGGACACAATTTAATAGGGGATCTTGTTAAAATACACATTAGTTTAGTAGGTCTAGGGTGGTGCCTGAGAAGTCTGTATTTCTAACAAGTGCTCAAGTGATGCTGATGCTTTTGGCCCATGGACCACACTTTGAGTAGTGAGGCTGTGTGGGTTTAAAACCATCATAAATGTGGCGTTCTCTCTCTGTGTATGTTGAAATCATCACAGATACTGTTAACATTAATTAACTTTATAGAATTTCAAGGGTACTTGTTTTGATTTTGTTTAAGAAGGTATTATTGTTAGGTGCCATCAAGGCATTTCCAACTCACAGTTACTCCGTGTGCAACAGAACAAAACACTGCCTGGTCCTGCGCCAGCCTGTCAGTCATTGCTGTGTTTGAGCCCATGGTTGCAGCCACTGTGTCAATCCATCTCCCTGAGATTCTCCGCTTCTGTGTTGACCCTGTACTTGACTGAGCATACTGTCCTTCTCCAGGGACCAGTCCCTCCTGATAACATGTCTAAAGTACATGAGATGAAGTCTTGCCATCCTCACTTCTAAAGAGTACTCTGGCCATACTCCCTATAGGACAGATTTGCTCATTCTTCTGCCAGTCCATGGTATATTCAGTGTTCTTCACCAGCATCACAATTCAAATATATCAGTTCTTCTTCAGTCTTCTTATTCATTATCCAGCTTTTGCATGCATATGAGGTGATTGAAAATTCTGTGGCTTGAGCCAGGCACATCTTAGTCCTCAAAGTGACATCTTTCCTTGAAAAGTTTGTTATTAAATAGACTTGTGGTGAACACAGTGAACTAATGGATGAGAGACGTGAGCATTCAAAATCAAAGGGAAGGGAGGACATCATCTTACCTGCCCTGTGGCTTGTCATTTTGACTAACTTTTCAAGTCCTTACAGTGACTACATTAAACATTCGTTTTTGCATATTAATCTTTTTAAACATCCTTGGAAGCAGCAGTCAAGAAATCAAAGAATGTATTACATTGGGAAAATCTGCTGCAAAGACAATGGTTAAGTGCTTGACTGTTAACCAAAAGGTTGGCAGTTCAGACACCCAGAGGCTCTTTGGAAGAAAGGCCTGACTGGCTGTTTCCAAAAGACCATAGCCTTGAAACCCTGATGGAGCACAGTTCTGTTCTGCAGCACATGGGGTCACTATGAGTCAGAACTGACTTGATGGCAACTGTGGGTTGATGTTATGTGTGTTCCCCCTTTCCACACCCCAGATCTGGATGACTCCTCTGGTGGGATCCCGCTCACGCCTGCGGCCCGGATATCTGCCCTCAACATTGTGGGAGACCTACTGCGGAAAGTAGGGGTAAGACTGGGTTCAGTGTGGCTTCTTGCCTGTCCTTTGGGATATTTGGGAGGATTAACTTTACCAACTCTTTCCCCCTTTTAAGAGAGCCCTCATGAGTTTTAGTGAGGAGAATGTGTGTGTGCGTGTGTGTGTTTGTGTATATACATAGGGAGGGAGAGGAGAGAGATTGGTTGATTTACTTCAAGGGACTGGCTCACACAATTTTGGGGGCTAGAGATTCCAAAATCTGTAGCTCAGGCAGCAGACTGGAGACTCCTGTGGGATTGTGGGGGGCTGACAACTCCAAAATCCATACGTAAGGTGACAGGCATGAGCGTCCT